GAAAGCTGAAGAGTGAGGGGAAAATAAAGGTAGGTTGATTGGCTCGGAAGGAGATAGGGTTGCCATCTCCAGGTGTGAAATTCCTGGAGATGTGAGGGATGGAGCTTGGAGAGGGTGACGTTTCAGAAGGCGTGGGACTTTGGACAGGTACAAAGCCATAGACTCCACCCTCCAAACCAACTATTCCCTTCTGGGGAACCATCGGTTCCAATCTCCAGGTGAGGGATGGAGATCACTCAAAATTACAACTATTCTTTAGGTAGCAGACATCAGTTCCTCTGGAGAAAATGGTGGAGTCAGTGTCATTATACCCTGCTGAGGTCACCACAGCAAATTGACACTGAGTGTCCAAGGCCGGGGCACCCACCCAGAGCCTCTTTCTAGAGATCGTTGTATTTATTTCCACGACGAGCCTTTTTCCTAGTATAATAACAATTAATATCTTAAGTCAAAGCTTTTCTCTTATTCATGTTAAGAATAAAGATTCTATTCTGTTATTTAGATATGCAAAAAATTAAAATTATTGACAATGCAAGATTATGTAATGTAATATAAACATTTCTTCTAAAGCTTAAACCATTTTCTGCCTTTCCTTCCTCTCTTCTTGCTTTTATTGTCTTGGGATGGTTTGGGTGCTGCCGCTCCCAATTCTGATTCAGATTCTACTTCTGAGCTGCCATCTGCAGATGTTTCGTGGCTTTCCAAGCCATGCGAACTGTCCAGTTCTTCCTCTTCCTCTGTGTTCTTTGTATCCTTTTTGGGTTCCTGATGTCTTTCCAAAAACTGTTTCACTTTGGTAAAAGAGTCAATCTTTTCTTTTTTGCCTTTGTAGTTGAACATCAAGCCTTCAGATAGTATCCATCAGTAGGTAGTGGAATTTTCCCGTAAATAGGTGATTAAATTCTTCTTTGTTTTCTCTTCTTCCTTATCTCAAATGGAATGTCTTTTAGTATTATGATGTCTTCTTTGATTTTCAGTGTAGTCCCAGATGTTGCTTTCAATATTGCATCTCTTATAGGTCTCTTAGAGAATCTGACATATATTTCACCAGGCAGGTTTTTTTTCTTAAAAAATTCTGAATATGTTTGATAGATCATATCCATTTCACTTTGTAATACTTCCACCTTAATGCCTGTCACTGGTGCAAGCACTTCACTAAGGATTTCTTTCAGATTCTCAGATTTGTCTTTTGGTACACCTTGAAATCTCAACACGTATGAAGATTTTTTCATTTGTAGCTGCAAAAGTTGAGTTTTATCTGAAGATCTTTCTTTTTCCACAACTTCCAGTCTTTGATCAATTGCTTTAGTCTTGTTTTCAACTTCTTCTGTTCTTTTATTGGATTCTTTTAGCTGCTTTTGTAAAGACTCCAAGGTCTTGCTGATGTTAGTCATCTGAGCCACCAGAGGTCGCAATGCAGTATCCAGCATGCCTGCAAAGTCAAAGTTCACTTCCGGTTTAGAAACCGGACGTGTTGAGCTGGCAGTTCCTTGTTGAAGCTTCGCTTTCACCACCATCTTTTCAGCCTGATAAGACATTGTTTATGTTTTTTAAAAGTTCATTTAAGTCTTTAGAAATCCTTGCCGTGTTCAAGGGGTGGGTAGCTTTCCCTCCCTCCGCTTTTTCTTGGGGGCACCCGGGCTGGCATCTTACTCACGCTCTGCTTCATCAGGGAAGAGAAAGTCTTTTTGTTTTCACCGGGTCAGTTGCTCGCTGGTCCAGTATCCTTGTCTCATGCCCAGAATGGTACCATGGCGGCGGGGACCTATAGGGGCAGGGGGAGCCTCGATCCTTTGGCCTCGGCCTTGGGAGAGGCACCCCCAGTGCCCCAGTTTGAGAGCCCCCTACAAGGACTCCGGGGGAAGTCCAGAACCAGCCAGACCCCCTCCCTGCCATCGGGTCACGGGCCACTCTCTCCATCGCTTCGGAGGAGCGTGCCCGCCATCAACACACTGAAACCAGAAGTACTCTTATCTGTGTTTCTGAAGGTTCTAACAGCTTGCTTTGTTTCAGAGGGGGAAAAAACTTTCTTTTGCAAGGCCTCTTTACCAGGCCATTTTACTAGCCCAAGAGTGTTCAAAACTTTAAAAAGAAAACCAGTTTTTTAAAAAATAACTTTTACTATAAGAAAGTTATTATAAATAACAACAATTATTTTGCATCAACATTTGTGAATTATGTCAAATTGTACATAGCTGAATGTTCAAAAATATATTCCTTAAAAATTATATATGTAGGGGAACTAGTTGAATGTTCAAAAATATATTCCTTAAAAATTATATATGTAGGGGAACTAGTAAGTAACAAGCAGCAATTTTATAATTATCCACAAATATTTTTAAATACATTTAAAGATAAGCCAAAATTTCATTATACCCTTTGTTTGTCTTTAATTTGAAAGAATGACACTGTGCTGAGTAATCCATAAAGGGAAGCCATTTGTCTAATAAATTAGAATCACAGTAACCTGAAGTAGATTCAACGGTTGAAATATGATAATCTGTTTTGTCCATGGTGAAAAATTCCCAAATTTTTACATACCATTCTGCAATTGAAGGAACAGAGGTTTTCTTCCAGTGAGAGGCCAATAGAAATTTTGCAACTGTAATCAGAATTGTAATTAGCTCTTGTCGTATTTTGGGTATTGCTGGATTTTGTCACAAATTCAAAAGTATGAGTTCAGAAGCATTAGGTATCTTATAATCAGTGATGAGCCATATATGAGGTATAATCTAGTCCCAATTTTTTTGACTATTTTACATGATTACCAGCAATGCAACAGTGAACCATAATTTCCACAAGTTTCCCAACAATTAAGGGAAATACTTTCATTGCCTTTATGTAGTAAAGAGGGTGTCAGATACCACTGGTGAGCACTTTGCATGGTATGATTTGTATTTTAGAGGATTTGGAAATGTATGCTGTTGAGGCCTTCCACTGAGAACTTAAATCGGTTTTGCAATCTTTTTTCCAAGCATGTTGGTATGACATAGGTTTGGACTATTGCAACCTGGAAAATCTACAGCAACTATTGCAATGTCATT